AATGGAGATTTTATGATAAGCAGTAAGAGGGGGCTGGCAGATTTATCAGAGCAACACGCTACATTATAAACCAGCTAGAAGTTTACCAGAGAAAACCAGAGACTAAGACTGCTAAGATGATACTTAGTACAGTCAGAGCAAAACTGAAAGTGCTCCTGCAGAGGGGCCCAGATTTAATTGGATCGGCCTATGGAGAGAGTGATGCCTCGGGGCATCTTTGGAAACAAGAAAGCAGCCTGCCAGCTGGTAGGGAAGGCTAACAGGTGGATGTGAGACCAAAAGCCAAAACCAGTTTAACAGAAAGATCAGAAAAATAGGTGACTGTAAGCATAAATAGTCCTGCCATGTCACTAAAAAGTTATGTAAACATTAACGGGCCTGAGGAGTGGGAGAGGGAAATCAATGCCCAGAGTCACTACAGTATATTATCTAAAATGTCAAGTTTTTAACAAAAAAAAAAACAGGAATGCAAAGGAAGGGGAAAGTGTGACCCATACACATGAAAAAGAGCAGACAAAACACCTATGAGCAGGTGTAAATGGTAGACTTAGGCAAAAATCAAAGCAGCTATTACAAATATGCTCAAAGAACTAAAAAAAGGATTCAAGAATTAAGACATGGTTACACTGTCTAATCAAATGGAGACTATCAGTAAAAATAAGAAACTTATAAAATATAAGTAAATGGAAGAACTGGAGTTGAAAAGCATGATAGCTTTTTTTTTTTTTTTTCCTGGAGAGGTTTTTGCTATAGGGGGCGGGTGCTTGCCAGACAGACAGAAGATAGAAAGCAAGAAATCACCCCCCGGGGGGGATGGCCACGCCACAATCCCTTCTCCTCCATTCCCCTCTCGGGATCGTGGGCACGCACGCACACACACCCGGCGTGAGTTTAAGCCACTGGGTCTGGGACGTGAAGCGCGGTCAACTACATGGGAGCCCAGTGACGTAGCCATTACGCTAACTGCTGGTCCCAGAAAGCATGATAGCTAAAATGTAAGAGTCATTAGAGGAACTCAAGAGTAGATTTAAAGTGGCAGGGAAAAAAAAAAAAAAAAAAACAGCGAAATCGATACTAGATCACTCTCTCTCTTGTGTGCATCCTTTGGCAAATAGAAAAACATACAAATCAGAGTCACAATGCGATGTCACTTCGCATCCTGTCAAAAAGCAGATAATAAGTGTATAGAAGATGTAGAGAAATTGGAATCCTCGTACATTGCTGGTGGCGATGTAAAATTGTGCATCTGCTTTGGAAAAAGACTGGCAGTTCCTCAAAAGTTGTGACACAGAGTTCCCATATGACCTAGTAATTCCACTCTTGAATGTCTACATGAGAGAAGTGAAAACGTGTCCACACAGAAATTTGTCCAGAAGCGTTCACAACAGCATTATTCATAATAACCAGAAGCAGAAACAATGCAAATGTCTCTCAACAGGATAAGTTAAAAAATGGATAGATAAATAAAATATGACATATTCATATAATGTAATGTTATTAGCGAAAGGAATGGATTGCAGCCTGTATGAACCTTGAAAATACTATGTGGAGTGAGAGAAGCGAGTCACGGAGAGCCACGTGTTGTGTGATTCCCTTTAAACTGACTGACTATAGAGATGGCGAGTAGGTAATGACTAACCACGGCTGGGGGCTTGGAAGGAAATGGAGGTGATTGCTAGGAGGTAGGGGGTTTCTCTTCTGTGTGATGAAAACGTTGTAAAATTGATTATGGTGATCATTGGATAACTCTGAAAACACTAAAACTCATTGAATTGTATACTTTGAATGGCTGAGTTACATCTCTATAAAGCTGTTAAAAAATAGATCATGTGAGACTTTAAGCAATGAAAATATATTACCCTTTTTTGTTTTGTTTTGTTTTGTTTTTTTAAAGAACAGTATTCTACTTGATTCAAATGCAAACACAAGCGTTCAGCCAGGGTTTCAGATTTTCAGTCTGGAAGTTGCCTTTCCCAGGACAGTCAGTCCTCTTTATATTCATCTGAGAGCACTCAGGACTTTTCGCTAGTTCTCTGCTTTGCTACGCAAGCCAGTTTTTTCTTGTTCTTTGTTTCCCTTTAACTCTTGAGCCTGTTGCTCTCACTTTGGCTCATACAGTAGGTTGAAAGTTTTGAAATCTAGAATCCTATTCGCTGTGAAATTAAACCACAGCTTTAAGGAAGATTTGCAGTTCCTTGGAAACAATGGCAAGAGTTCGGGCAGGACAATGCAGAGCAGCAAGCCCTGCTCTACAAGGAGGGCAGACAGCTCCTTCTGCATAACACTGAGAGTGCTTGAACATCACCTAGAGTTTCAGAGCTCTTCACTTCAACTTAGATCGCTAGAGCTCCCCAAATCGGTGACTTTTTTCAAGGTTCCATAAGAACAGAATGTGAAAGTTTAAGATCAAGACCTTTTCGGATCTGGGTTTTTATTTGGAGTTCTTCCTTGTTAGCAGCATACAATTTTGGTGCATGACAAATATACTGAGTTTGAGTGGGATTTCATTGAATTGTTGGGAAGGTCAGGCATTTTTGGATAGAAAAATACGTCATGACTTTCCCAACAACCTGAGGTCCTAAGCAGTCCGTTTGTCCTTCAATCTTGTGGTTGCAAACTCTAATACCTGATAACATTGTCAAAACCTTCTCACACCAATTTCCACTTTGGGAAATTCAGATAATTAAAAAGAACTGAGGTGACCACCAGATGGCATAGACTCCCACATAGGTGACCACGGTTCAAGTCCCCAATCCGGCGGCTTGAAACTCACGCTGGGTGCATATGCACTTGTGCCCAAAGTTCTGAGAGGAGAGTGAAGGAAAAGGGATTGCGGTGTGGCCATCCCCTCTGAGGGGTGGTTTCTTGCTTTCTTTCTCTCTGGTGAGCACATGATCCCTACAGCAAAAATCTGAAAAATAAAAAAAGACATAAGAAGAAGTAGAGGGAAGAAATCAAAAGCTTCCACTTGAGAAAAAAATAAAGACAAGGAGATGAATAACAAGGCCACGTTAGGAAAGAAGAGCCAGGTAGAAAGAATGGCGAAGGACGAGCATTGGGTTAGAAATGGAGAGGCTTGGTCCCAGGACCAGCTCTGCTATTAATCAGCCGTGTAGTTGTGCTCCTCTGTGCTGTAGTCTCCTCACTTGATAGCTGTGCTACTTTATGAAAGCACTGAAAAAAATAGTACTTAAAAAAAAGTAAATTTGCAAGTCACTGACAAGTCCTATTCTCTTGACGGCTTCCTGAGTTCAGTCACTGAAATCATCCGTCACTTGCAGCTTCCTGCATGACCTCACCCCAGTACAGCGACATGGAAGAATAGTAAGCATTAACCCCACACAGCAATCTCTTAGTAAAAAGTGGCTTTATAGCCAGCAACCTTAAGGACATAACTGTCCAGCAAAATCCAGATCATTTCGGTGGGTCTCTTTTCTGTAACACTTATCCAAAAAGAAAACCCTCCAGGCATCTTAAAGATTTCTTTATAATGTGGTAATTGGCATTTGAAATCAGTTAAGTCTAAATCGAACAGCAGTACTACTTTGGGAAAACGTAAATCAGAACATTTAAACAGAAATGCAGCTTAATTATTACTTTCATATATACATAGCAACATAAATGAGTCAGTGAAACCAGCCAGGCTTTCTTTAATAAATGGATCATTTGTAATGAACTTGACTTCAGAGCAAATGAGAACTTAAAGGTGCATTAATAGGTTTTTCTAGAATATCTTTGTAGTCAATTGCCAGTTAAGAATACATCACAGGGGAGCCAGCAGCTGGTATAGTGGTTAAGGGTTAAGGCACTGGACTCCCACATGCTGACTGCGGTTCATGTCCTGTCTCTCTCTCTCTCCGGAGAGCACGAGTGCCCTATGGCAAAAACTGATATATATATATATATATATATCAATCATAGGGCCATCCTGGTGGTGGTGGTTATGGCAGTTGGAACTGACATGGCCGACTGTGTGTTTGGAGTCCTGGACGTGGCTGCATGAAAAACACTCCGGGCTGCATGTGCATGCAGAGCCTAAAATCCCAAGAGTAGAATGGGGGAGAAGGGATTACAGGCTGACCGTCCTGGGGGAGGGGGTGTTTTCTCGATTTCTCTCTCTCTTTCTCTCTCTCTCTCTCTCTCTCTCTGCCTCCAGGGAGCATGCATGCCTGGGAGTAAATTTTAAAAAGAAAAAAAAAAAAGGAAGAAGTAAAAAGAGTACACTGTAATCACTTTTTACTTTGTGATAGTTTTACGCTAATACCTTTTAGAATTCTTGTGCTTTTAGTGCAAGGGGGACAAGAATCTGCTTCTGCAGAAAGTTTCAAAATACTGTGGTTCTTGTTTAATTTTCATAAACTCTTAAAAAAAAAGCACATTATTTCAGGAGAAACAAATTCACAGGCTGAATTTAATGTCTTTACATATAAGCTACAGAGAAACTTTTCATTCCTAGACACTTGATAAAGGACTTCATGTGACTGTGTCCTGTTGTGAATACATTTAAAGTAAGCTCACGAATGTCTGTCCTCAAGTAATGGCCCAGACTTCATTGTAACAGCCTTGAATTTCAAAATTGGCTAAAACTCTGAAGTCCTTGTGTGTGTGTTGGGGGGTGGTTTTAACAAGTTTAATAACTTTTGAAAATGTGTGTATGAGGGGTAGAATACTCCTTTTTTGGTTCTCATAGCAGTTTAAGTAGTTGCTGTCTTTAATTTTTGAGCCTGCCTCCAGTAGGGTTCTTTAGGCTAAAGACCAGAATTTACTCATCTTTCTATTCTCAGAAACTATTGGTTGAAATAATTCCCATGAAAACTGCCACCTTTATTGTCGGGACACATATTTCTAACTGACAGGATCTAGAGTAGGTTTTTCAGACTTGCCAAGGCGTCTGCGAACCAGGTCGACCCGGTGCGGACAGCGGCCCCTGCTCAGCAGCTCAGCTGAGAGCCCGTGTGACCGCGCTGCCTTGCCCTCCGCCCCGTCCAGCTCGCTCTCACCTCTGAGAGTTGCCATCACGCCATTTTTGGTGGAAACAGGCTTCTTTGAGTTATAGACCAAAATCAGGGGGCAAAGAATATTCTCTCGGGGGTGGGGTGGTCAGAGCCTTGAGAGCGCTTCCAATGCAGCCTCCAAGGAGCGCTGGCAGCTGGCCGGTGAGCGCCGCCCTGGTGCGGGGAGACCAGTTAGCCCGGCACACCCCGCTGCAGACCCACCAGAAGGCAGCCCCTGCCGCAGCCATTCCCTGATGGATTTCCATTTCTATCGATTGGGGACTTAGATGCTGGCTCGCAATTAGTGCTAATCAGGCAGCGGGAGTTTCCTAAGGGGACTGCCAGCTAGCCTAATTGCTGGCAGCTGTGGGGACCTCGGCTGCCAGGGACAGGGTGTTAACCCCCGGTGTCCCAGGCTCTCAGAGATCGTGACCTAGCCAGATTCCGCCCCTGTGTGCCCTGAGGTCCATTTTGGAAAGCTCTGCTGAGAGACTGGGGCTGCTTCATCTCTAGAGCCACCCTGTGAGAAAGAACGAAGTAGCAAGAAACGCTTCCTAAAGGAGAATCCGAAACAGCATTGACGAAGAAAAAGTCCTACTGTGAAAATTCTCAAAGCTTCACCAAGTAGGATACTGTAAACGAGCCCCCACCTGCATCACCGCCTTCTCTGCCTTCTACTGTCCTTTTAGACCTTTTCCCCTGCTCTCCCCCTCCCATTTCCACTTTTTTCCTTTTTACTGGAGTATTTTAAAGTAAATCCTAGCCATGGTTCACTTATAAGTGCTTTGGTGTGTAATTCGAATAGGTAAAGATATGTTTAAAAATACAACCACAGTACCATTACCGCACCCAACACAGTGAACCGTCACTCCCCTGCCACAGGCGTGCTCACGTTCCCACAGTGCCTCAGAAGTGCCCTTCTGGCCTTTGCGAATCAGGATCTGATCCAGGTCACACTCAGCTGTGACTGAGTGACGAGGCGGCCCTTGTTCTGCAGCCCTCGCCGTGCTCCTGTGTTCCTCCAGCTCCCACCTTTTCTGTGAACTGGTAGTAAAGTCTAGAAGCGTGAGCACCAGGTTTATTTCTCAGGCATACTTCCTAGGTGGTGCTGTGAACTTTCTTTTGCTTCCTCGGGAGGCACACAATGTCCACCTGTCTGATGAGGTGCGTAACATTGACCAGTGAGTGCGGATGCTCCCAGCCGTCTGAGCCAAGTCCCTGTTGGGAGTTCACCTCCTGGTTC